ATATTAATTAATATTTATTTAATAACTAATATTTAAATTTTATTAATATTTATTTATAATTAATAGTATTAAATAATAATTAATATTAATAGGAGTTATAATTGAAAAAAATTGACTATAAGCTACCAAAAAGTTATTCCAAGTAGCGTTTCAGTAAAATAGTTTATATGCATCCAAACATATACCCAGAAAATAAACTAGTTTATTTTTGCCAAACAATGCCTTAGGGAGCATTTGGTTCATAGATGAAATTTGATAGAATTTGTATGATCAATTTTATTGACCAAATTCCGTTCAAATGTTTGGTTTACCTATGAAATGAAATTGAATTATATGAATTCCATCAACCATGGAATTCATCACTCCATCATAGTGAGGAGGGAATTGAATTCCATCTCACTCAATATTCTTAAAATGACAAATTCCCCTCATTAAATTCTAGAGTTTTATTAAAAATGTCTCTCTTTCACGGTTTTCACAGACTCAAACACGATTTTCACATATTTCTTTCAATTTCGCTCAGGATTATCCATCTCGCTGAAGACTCAACCACAATTTCTCCTTGTATGATTCTCCTTTGCGCTTACCTACTTCTTAGTTGATAATCATTTTTTCTGTTTGGTTTTTTCGTAAACGATTTTTCTATTTCTGTAATCGATTTGCTTCAAAATCGATTTTTCATTTTTGAACAAGTTCTAGTTGGGTTTTGTTCGATTTATCTGCTTCTGTAATCGATTTGCTTCAAAAAATCGATTTTTCATTTATGAACAAGTTCCAGTTGGTTTCTGTTCGATTTTTCTTTTATGAACAAGTTCCAGTTGGTTTCTATTCAATTTTTCTGCTTCAAAATCGATTTTTCTTTTATGAACTAGTTCTAGTTGGTATCAGTTCGATTTTTCTGCTTCTGGTAATAAAAATCAATCTGCTTATGTTAATAAAATTTGACTTGCTTCTGTTAATCTGCTTCAAAATCGATATGCTTGTGTTAATTTTATTCTACTAATTTGTTTTTGTTAATAACACTACCTCAAACTCCCATTAGATAATAATCCAAAGGCATTTTTCTGGCATATTAACATTCCATTCCATTCCAATTCTTTTGACATATGCTATTCCTTCTCCTTCAAAAAACATTTTGTGAACCGAACGTCCCTTTAGACAACATTTAACTCATTGGAATATGAAGAAACTAGAATGGTCAATTCCACTGAAATTTGGTTAACTTTTAGAGTTTTGCTACTTGTGAAGGCGACCGTAAAGGGCCTAGGAAGGCAAAGCGACGATGATGCTAAAAGGGCAGCGACGACAAGAAGGAAGAAGAAAGGGTGGCGATTGGGGTGAGTTTGATCTTTTGAGTCTAGGGTTTAGTTTTTGTTTTTATTTTATTTTTTTAATGATAATGACATGGTTCTTTAATATTCATGTAAGTTAACTATTTTACTACGTCATAATGAGATAACCCGTTACCTACCGAATTGGTAAATCAGACCTTAAATAATGAAAAGTCGAACTCATAATAATTAGTTGGCCTTTAGGAATTATTAAATGTTGTATATAATGAAAACGATTAAACTATATTTTGATAAAATTAAATAAAGTTATTTATTTAATTGAGAGCAACTTTTCATTCAAATCGTAATTATTAGGTTTCTTTAAGTTATGGGTCCAAGTTTTAATGATGATTTAAATATATATATATATATATATATGTTCTTTTTTTTTTTTCTTTTTTTCTAACCTGGATATTCAACCCGCTATGCGAATCGACTAATCCCAGGACGACCATCTGCTTTGCAGATAATTCAGAGTCACCGCATTTGAACCTCTATGGACACAAGGGAATTGTTATTCCTCCTTAGATTTGAACTTGAGATCTCCAGGTACTTTTGACTTTTGGAGCCAAGCTCAAACTAATCAGGCACCACCCTTGTGGTTATTTATATGTTCTCTTAGTTATTAAATAAATAGATCGAATAATAACAAAAAAAAAGAAAAAGAAATCCAGAAAAATAAAATGTACGATTATCTAAATGGAACATGAATATGTTATATACGAAATACCCGCAAATAAGATTTCTTGTTCTCTTGTTTAGTTTTTGTTATTCAACGAATGTAACGGTAGTACGAAAAGGCAAAACTCAACTAGCTTTTTATCTTGTAAGAATCATAACAAAAAAACTATGTATAACTAGATGGTGGATCATGAGACACTTGATGTAGTTTAAAAGTTGCTTGTGTAAACTATTTCCGATCATCATTGTGAAAAATGAAGACTTACCGATACGCTGAACGAGTTAGATTGAGAGGTTATTTTTGCACAATGTGTGACACAATCCAGTATATCTGTTGAGTACAAGATTGAGATAAGACAAGACAAGAAAAGATTTGGTATTAAGGGCTTAGTAAGAAAAGAAAGATAATCCATTATGTCTGTAACGCTCTAACCCCATAGCAACAGACAGTCCCAATAACTTCTAGTCCAGAAATTATTGGTAGCTCTCAACTTGAGACTTATGATTGACTTTTTGAACTATTGTACTTGACTTTGTTGCATACAAAGGGGTAGTTCTTGGTGAAAATGTCAAAAAAGAACATTTTGCATAATGAAAATACTGGACAAATTGTAGAAATTAAAATCAATCTTTTTTAAATATTAGTCGATACTGTTTGTCCAAAATCGTTCATTCTTGTCGAGTATAGTGATCTTATTGCATATTCACAAGAACTACGGTTTATTGGCAATCCCAAGTCAAGTACGAGGATTGAAAAATTTATTAAAACCTTTTCGTGTTAGAAGACATTTTTGACTTCGTTTTTATTGAAATGTATACCAATCGTGGCAGCAGAGGGAGCGTATGTCGCAACAGGAAAAGAAGAGACTTACGATGTTGTTAGCAGGAGATTTCCAGTAGAATCCTTGAATTGCAATGACAATTAAGTTTGATGTAACGAGAATAAAAATGCTCAAAGAATGTTTTCCCATCCATTCCAACACGAATGCTACTCGCCTCCATCCGTAAACATCAACCTGTAACCGTATGGAATATGATAATATTTCATGAGTATTGAACATCAATTTCTAATTTATAGAATATCTAAAGTTTTTAGCAGATGTAAATAATTAAAGTAACTACCAGAGGTTTACTTTCATTTTATGGATCCATGTCTTTATGGAAACGACCGTTCTATCTTTTTGTGGTAGATGACAGGTCTGCATACATACCACCCCTAGACACAACCTATGGTGGGATATACCGATTGTTTTGATGGGTTTTATCTTGTGGATACACATTTATGGTAGCATCCTAACGGGTTAAATACATATTTATGGTACTTACCAGTAGATATAATGCACAAAATGTGATTCCTGATGCTGCTGAAGTTACAAGCAGGTAACTGATAGTGTACAAGGATTTATTCAAAGGGATACCTGAGAAGGAAACAGCAAACAAATAAGAATAGTTTACAGCTAATTATTGATGATTTCTTATTCAAGAGATTGTTTCTAAAATATTATTGAATACAAAAATGGGTTGTTTAGGTATATAACCTTAAATGATATTCTAATTAAATCCATTACCTCTTGGTCTGTCAAAGAAAAAATGGTTCTATATTCGTCACCAGGTCATGGATTTATTTAAAATCTCATTTAAGTTTAAACGAGATTTTAATTAAATCCATGACTTCTCCTTAGTATAAACCCATTTTTTCTTATATAGGCTAGGGGGTCATGAATTTAATTAAAAACTCATTTAAGGTCATTTACCTAAATGACTCTACATAAAACTGTCTTTTTATTTGTATATTCATATGAAAATATGTACAACAATATATAATATTTATTTATTTATTTATCTAGAGTAGGGATTATGTGAAATTTTCAATTTCGTGAGAACAAGTGAAGGTACCCTTGTACCGTGTGAAAGTTACGTTAATATATATATATATATATATATATATATATATATATATATA